TTGAATGAATTTACTTTTAATGAAATGAATTTCCTAGATACTGAATCTGAAAGGTAACCATCTCGGCCTGAGCTTTTACTGATACGCTCCTTGGAACGAGGCCACTCTGTTGAGTATGACATTTGGTCTTCATCAGATAGCTACTGATATCTAGCGATTTGAGGATAACTCCAAAAAATTAAAATGTGAAAGTCACAAAGAGTGGGTATTGATTTTATTTCCTCATGAGTATGCACAGAAAAAACTTCATAGACATAATTTCTTAGCAAATTAAATTTACTAAAAGTGAGTGAGTGACAATACTGTTTTGGAGATTATGAACATTCTATAGACTTCCTATTTGTTTAGAGCACTGCTGTCCAATAGAAATGGAATGTGAGCCACTTAGGTAATTCTAAGAACCACATTTAAAAAAGTAAAAAGAAAAAATGAAATCAATTTGAAATCCAGTGTGTAGTTTTAACTTGTAGCACATCTCAATTTGGACCAGCCCCTTTTCAAGTGCTTGGTAGCCACATGCGGTTAGTGGTGATCATTTAGACTATACAGGTTTAGAGGATAATGAAGCACTGGAATAGAATTTTTGAAGCATGAACATTATTTAATAACACATATATACACATATATACATAAATATAAAAAGAGCCTCAGAGGCCAAAGAAATTATGTAGAGAAATGATTGTCACTTGCTGCTTGTTCCCTTTGATCATATGCTCTGTGATGCCACTGGCAATAATGTATGAAGGAAGAAAAATAAAGAAATCTAAAGATTTTTTTTGGTCAGCAGATTAAATTAAAATCTGGTTGACCTAAAGGAATCTTTGTGACCTTCTCTGCACATAACAGGCATTTGTTTATTTTCATTTTGCCATTAAAAATAAAATTTTAGTATTGGAAAAGATTTTTAAAATCATTACTTTTTAAAGGAAGCAGAAATTAGAAGATGGAAAGAAAATAAAGAATAAAGATACTTTTTTGCCTTTCTTACATGGGGTTTTATGTAGGAAGCTTTAGTTCGTTTGTTCTTTCCATTACCACTACTACTACCAGTTATTATTTATTAAGCTACTTAGTGTGTCAGATACTAAAAGCATCATTATTAATCTTATAATAGCTCTACAGAGTAGGTCCTATTATCTTCTTTTATAGATGAGGAAACTGAGACCTAGAGGAGCTATTATAATGTGTCCAAGGTTTTAAAGCTCATTAATGCAGAGCCAAGAGTCAAACTACTTTTTTCTAGTTTAAAGCCTGTGCTGTTTCTAATACAATAGTTCCCCTTATTCATGGGGTTATGTTCCAAGACCCCCACTGGATGCCTGAAACCATGATAGCACATACATATCTAGGGTAAAGTTTAATTTATAAATTAGGAACAGTAAGAGATTAACTAATAATAGAACAATTCTAATAATATACTGTAATAAAGATTATGTGAATGTGGCATTATTAAGTAAAATAGGAGTTACTTGAAGACAAGTGCTGCAATGCTGCAGGTTGATTTGATAACCGAGATGGCTGCTTAAGTGACTAACAGGCAGGTAGCATAGATAGGGTGGACATGATAGACAAAGGGATGACTCATGTTCCGTGTAGGATGGCGCAGGATGGCATGAGATTTCATCACTCTACTCAGAATGGTGTGCAATTTAAAACTTAAGAATTGTTTATTTTCAGCATTTTCCATTTAATATTTTTAGACCGTGGTTGACCACAGTTAACTGAAACCTCAGAAAGTAAGACCGGGTAAAGGGGGCACTAGTGTGTGCCATGTTGGGTCTGTCAGGCTGGGGAAGGAGAGGACCGTGATGGGCTTGTTGAAGTACTAGTGGATTATCGGTGAAGCAGATGAGAGAAGGAAGGGTGAAAGGAGGAGCAAGGGAAAAATGGTCGAGGTGTGGCATACGTGGGGAAAGGTGGTCAGATGAAGTGTTAGAGTTGGTTGGGTGGTTTCTTCCACCCTCCATAAGTCGATGGCCTGGAGGCCCTTTCTTTCTCTGGATCATTCCAATGGGATGGGGGAAGGGCTGGTGCACCAGGACGGCCCTCATTGCTAGCCCACATTGCTACAGGGCCAGATGTACGCTGTGGAAGCAAGCACTGGAGGTCCCATCTTGATAGCCTGCCAAGCAAGTGGGCTTTGAGGCGGCGGAATAGGAAGACATTGGTGAGGTGCTTGACTCCTTTAAAGGCCTGTGCCTTGTAGCTGGTTACACAATCTTTGCCCATTGACAGATATGCTTTTTCCTGCCTGGGATTCTAAGGATGGTAAGAACAAAGTGAGGGTTAAAGGCACGTGCCCTCTAATCACTCAACATCCTTGAGCTTCTTCGGATTTGCTGTGTGAATTTAGTTAGACCCGAGAAATATCTAATATCTGCTATCTTCTTGCATGTCTCTTGGTGACATTTAGTTTCATACTCATAGATGTAGTTTTCCCTTGTTTCTTTGTGCCAGTTTCCATAAGTGGAAAATTATTTTCTTCTGAGATGAAAATATGTAAATGAAACTAAGATACACTTTACAGGGAAGATAAACACAACACCCAGTCTTTGAGACAATAATGATAGGTGTGTGTGGGTATAAATTTGAGTAATTTTCAGGGCATAATATTGGTGCTGTAGCCTGCTGCTGGGTGGCAGCCAGACTGACTACAAGTTTTGGACACGCACCATGCATTTTTCCAGGTTCTCAACCACATTGTTCCAAAGCACAGTTGCCAGAAAAAAAAAAAAAAAAAGGAAAAATCCAAATAAAAGTCCTCATGGTTCCAAATCCACATAATGAAAACCATGGACACAAGAGGTGCTTATAGTGCTATGGACTTCCAAGATAAAATGTCTTGGATTTGTTTCAGAAACTGGGGTGAGAGAGGGAGTGGGTGAGAATATATATGAAACAAGATTGGATATGAGTTGAAGCTACATGGGGGTACACAGTTCATACATTCTCTCACTTTTGCATAAGCTTGAAACTCACTTGAAATGCCACCAGAGATTTCCCTGGCTAACGTACTGTTAAACGTTACTTCTATGGGCACTGACCCATAATTTATATAAATAGGACCACCATAAACATGTTTTGTAACAAGCTTTTTTCACTCAAAAGTACATTTAATTTCTTATTTATAAGCCTTTGTTTCCAAGTTTTAACTAATATTGGAACAAACATTCTAGCATATGCATCTTTTCTAATTTGTATCATTGTTGATTCACAGGTATGCGTATTTAACATTTTGATACATGCTGCCAAACTGCACTTCAGAAAGGCTGAACCTATTTATACTCAGGAAGTACTCCATATCCCATTTTGTATCTAAACCAAAACTAACCTTTGTAGCTTTGCTAGTCCAATGAGAACATGTTATCTAATTGTTGGGATTATTTGTATTTAATTAGCAAGAATAAACATTTTCATATGCTTATTAGCCATTTGTAGTGTATGTGTGATTTGCTTCTTTACGTTCTTTACCAGTTTGTCTGTTAGGGTGTTGAACCTTTTTATTGACATTTAAGAGCTTTTTGTATGTTAATGACATATACCTTTTGTCATATAAATTGCAAATATTCTCTCTGGTTATTGCTTCAACTTCAGTTACTGGGTGTGAGTGTGTGTATGTGTTTTCCCTCATGTAGTAATTTTAAATTTTATATAGTTTAATCTAAACTTTAATAGTTTTGGGCTTTGAAGTCATGTTTAAAAAGTCTTTTCTCATCACAAGAATATGAAACTATTTCATAATTCATTTATTCTTACAGCATATATTATAGCGTATATTTTATTTAAATGTAAAAATGCAAACATTATACTTTATAGAATATTTCTTATAATTTTAATCTCAAAGATAAACACCATCAATAATTTATATTTATATGTAAATATATTACATGTAAAATATATTTATATGTATATTTATATATTCGTAATGTATATATATTTTTTAAAACTTCAAGTATCTCAGGCATCCTCTTTTGTCAATATACACACATCTACCAGTTCTTTTGTATAGATCAGTTTTTCTATTGTTTCTAGGCCTTTTGGCTAAGATCAAGTGTAGATCAGTTTTTTGCAGTCTTTTTTCCATTACTGTTCCTATATGAAGCCTATTTAGGCCTTTTTTTCTTAATCATCTCCCCATGAAATTTCAATACCACATACTTACTATGTATCTGTTTATGTACCTTATTCATATTTGTGCTTTATACATAAAAAATTTGGTTTTTTTGGTCCTTCTAAGAACCAATTTTCATTTCCTTGGTTGTGATATCACTCCTTTGAGAATGCATGGCATAGATATTTCATACCTTAATTATTTCATATGCATATACTATTTTTGATATTCCAGTGCAGATTATCCATATTTATCTCTATACGAATAGTGTTTTTACAAGAGCAATTACTGGAATTGAAAAGCTGTGTCAAAAGGTATTAATATTTAAAAATTTATCAGATATTGCTAAAGATTATAACAATCATACACCATCTAATACATATTGAGAATCTGGCTTTGATTTTTACATAGAAGTCACAAATCCATTTGGAATTTGTTCTGGAATGATGAATAAGGTAAAGATCTATTTTTCTCCCCCAAATATAGCTCATTGTCCTTAGATACATTATTGAATTAATCTTTTCTTGATTAACTATATATATTAAATATGGTAAATGCTCTTATATATGCTCAGGCTTTGAATTCTGTTTATTCCTACTCCATTACCATTCTGTTTGTTGTTCTTGCTTTATAAAATGCTTCAATATCGATTATGCAATTCTCTTTTAAGAATTTTCTCCCTATTTTCTTGTTATTTTTATGTTTTTTTTTTCCTCTGAGTGAATTTTGGAGTAATTTTGCTTAGTTCTAAAGTAAGCAAACAACACAAAAGGCTCTTAAAATATTGAGATTAAGATTGGGATTGTACTAAATTTGTGGATTAATTTAGTGAGAACTATAGAATACATTATAGAGCAACAAACGAAATAAGTCACAGAAGAAACTGAAATAATGTTGATTTAATGAGGTATACCTGTATTAGAATTTTTTGAGTAGTATATGACAAAAATCTAGAAAAAACAAGTTTAAGCATAAAAGACTTTATTGGCTCATTTAACTGAAAAGTTCAGTGGTAAAGTTAGTCTTTAAGCATGTCTGGATCCCTGGACTCAAATAATATCAAGATTTGGTTTCCATCTTCCAGGTTGGCTTTTTTAGCTTCAATTTTAGACAAGTGATAGCAAAGGTGGCCTGTCTGCTCCATGCTTAAATAGTCTTTAGCACCTGCAACATCAGAGGAAGAGAGTCTTTTTCCTTATTGTGACAGTGAAAGTACCAATGTTGGTTGTCACTGGGAAGATCTGGATCAAGTGCAGGAGTGGGGGCAGGGTGAGAAGTTGGGAATTGGCCCCACCTGAACCATACAAGCTACAGTTGGAAAGGAGCACTTTCTTGAAAGTAAGGGACATAGAGTAACCAGAAATGCAGTTGTATACTATAATACCCATTTACTTATAAAAAGAGGATTTTAAAGAAGCATTAAAAAATATTACTAAGTGGAAGTTCTAATATTTTCAGCATATCACAAGTTAGTTTGGGGCCATAATTGTGAAAAGAAACCAGGTAGGAGTAGAAAAATATGTTGATTAAAAAAATCACCTTTGTTATTGAATATGTTAGAATCGTAATGCTGATTCTTAACAAATGACTCTTCTCTCTTTTTTTGATCTAATTACTGTTTAGATCCTCCAAAATCTTACTTCATACAGTTATCCTTTTTGCAACTTAATCCTCTTTTAGTTTTCCATGCTCCTAAGGAACTCTATTCCCTATCTCCCTAAACAAATCAAAAGCATCTTGATTCTATTGATCTTTTAAGACACTCTCCTAATATTCATTGGTAAACTACAAAGAAGTCATGTAGTTGAAAGTCATCAATGATTTCCTTAATCACCAAATCCAGTGGCCTAAGATCCTCCTCCTTGATGGCCTGCTGTCTCCATAGCATTTGAAAATACTGATTGACCTTTCTTTCTAGAAATATGAATTCTTAGTTTCTATGAAACTCACTCTCCTAACGCTTCTCTTTTTAGCTTTCTGATGACTTCTTCTATGTTTACTCTGTTGTTTCTTTTTCCTTACCTTCTTTACATGTGGGTGATTCTCAAGGTTCTGGCTTCAAACTGTTTCTGTATTCACTATCTTACAGTGTGGAATCAAATACGTCCCTATTTTCAAAAGAAAGGTACGTGCCTTTTTTTTAGCTGCTCTGATTAGTTCCTCCCAACATCTCCATGTTCCAATCCTAACTGTCCATTATCAAGGCCCAGCTTAACTTCTGAAAAAATTTTTTTCTTCTGAATCCCATGGTGCGCCACTGCTCCCCCTGCCACCCCACCCCTGCCTTTTTAAATGGCACCGCTTTAGAACTTGGATTAGGTATTTATATATAAGAGTTGTCTTACTTTTTGGTCAAAAGTTATTTTAAGAACACTTTGTAATTCAACCCTGTATCTCCTATACTGTGAAGCAGCGTCTTACGTATCCGTTTGTTTATTCAACATACATTGAGCACCTATTATGCATTGTGCTAGGTCCTGGATAAAAGGTTCAGAAAACATTTGTGGTTTCTGCCCTCGTTGGGTTAATAGTCTCATGAAGTAACAAATACATATTGTGATATGTGTTTAAGAAAACTTTGAGTGAATGAATCTTACATCTTTAATTCCTCTTTCATCTTCTCTCCCCAAACTCCTGCCTACATTTCCTGCATCCTTTCCCCTGAAAATTCGAATATGAGTGAACTTATCTGCAACTATGTTATGTTTAAGAAGTACAGGTTTAGTATATTTAACCTATCTTTTATTGGTGGACAAGCTTAAATGAATTCTATGCAGCTTAATAAGTATGTGCAGTTTTGATTATTTCCTTTTGAGAACTTCCTAGAAGTATACTTGCTTAGACAAAGTATATATGCATTTTAAAGATTTTGATACATAGTTCTAAAATGCCTGATGAGGGAAAAGATGTACCAATTCCTATTTCCACCTGCAGTGCTTGTTTCATTGAACCCTTGGCTAATACATATTATTTTCTTTCTAATCTTTGTCAATTTAATACATTGAATATGCCATATTTATCACTAATTAGCTGAACATACCTATTTATTGGCCATTTTTATATATATCTTTTGATATATTTGTTACTTTTTTTGCCAATTTGTAATAATTTCTAAATTATTAACATCCAGACCTACCCTGACACCCTTCTTCCCAGTTCTGCCTCCTATTAAAGCTAATTTATGTACTTGATCTATGCATCTCATCTTCTATTTCTTTTGGCATTCATTCAGTTATCCTTTCTTGCCAGTATCTTTAACCTCTGACTACCAGCTTTTTCTCTAATAAAAACATTACTCTCTTCTCCTTAAAAAAAAACCCCAACTTTTTTTTTCACTTGTCATTCTTTTTCGGCTTACTGACCTTTCTCTTTTCCTTTACAGCCAAACTTCTTGAAAGAATTGTCTTCACATGCTGCGTCGACTTCATTTTTATCTCTTCAACTCACTACGAACACATTTACATTAAGATCTTCGATGCTTTCTTTGTTGCTAAGATTTCAATAACAGAATTATAGCATATACATATATATGTGAAAAAGCAGGATACTAATGGTTTTCTCCAATTAAACTCAACTATGTAAAAAATATTTATGCAGACAAAAAAAACTAATAGGTAATACATGAAAATTTTAACTTACTTCTGGATAAATGACTGGTGAGTTTTCTTTTTTCTTTAAATAAAAAATTTTCCACAATTTTAAAAGCAAGAATAATTTACTTTGACATTAGAACACACTACAACTTAAATTAGAAATTCTCAACTTACATTTTCTAAAAGGAGGCAGAAAACTAGAGAAGTGACGGAAAGGAGCTACTTGGTCACACTTCATTTCTCCGCAAGGCTCAAAGGACAACAAGAGGGCTTGACCTCGATCCCCAGGGCAGGCGCTCCCGCAGGACACACCTGGATAACCTCCTGATAAGACAATCTTCCCTTAAAAGCACCCACAGGCCCCTTTCGCTCATCCCAAATGACCTCTGAGCATCTCAGCCTCGCCTGCTAACTGCTCAAAACCGCAGATAACCGCCAAGAGACTCCGGTTGCCCCGGTAACAGTCAGCGGATCTCAGCCTTTCATAACTCTTCCCAGAATGCTGAGCGCCTTCTTCCATCCACTTCCGGGTTCGGAGGGCCGGATGTAGATTGCTGTCGTTCGTCCTGCGATTCCTACCCGTGTGGGCATACTGGGCTGAGTATGGAGTATTTTTGCGGATGGTGGTGAGGACTGTTTTGTTCTTTCCAACATTCAAAATGAAAGCTAAGGGAAGGCTATAATCTCACCGAATTTTTGTTGGCCCTTGATAAATGGATTAGACGTTAGTTATTAAAAAGCCGAAAGGCGGAAAGCACTTTAAAATTATATCCTATGCACTTATTGCTGTGATATATTTAAAGAACTTTAAACAGGTCATACCTATAAAAAAGCAATTATTTTTGCTTTATAAATGAAGGCAAGCACAAAAAACAAAACACCCATATCCTTCCCTCAGAAACAACCACTGTGAACACTCTGGAGCAGTCTTCCAGACCCTTTCTATGCATATAATAAACTTTCGAAATGGAATCCTGTTGCATATGCTATTTCGTAACTTAAAAAAACCTTAAGAACACATTAAGAAAAGACTTCTACGACATGGTCGTTTGTATTCCATTGTACTTCTTGTTGGATATTTAGATATTTTCTATCCTTTTTGCTTTTAATTAATGCTGCGATGGAGATAGGAAAATTCTTAGACCTAAATCTTTGCCCATGCTCTCATTTTTCTGTGGTGTTTTTCTCTTTTTAACTCAGTCATTTGGATGTGCCCTTCCAAAAGTTTATTTTTCTCATTATGAAGGTAATACAGGCTTATTGCAGAGCATTAGGAAAATTCAGAATATAATAAAAATATTCCAGTACCTGAACAACTATTGATCATATTTTGGCATAAATTTATTCTAGTTTTCTCACTTTTGCCTTAAAAATGAGTATTGAAAATACATTTGCTAATTCGGTAGGGAAAAATGCAGCTTTTAATTTGCTTATTTCTTTGCTTATTCATGTAGTTGAATAATATTTCAAATACTATTTCAAATGTTTACAGGCTATAATCCATTCTAGGCTTTCCATGAGTATTACAGACTAAACGTACTAACTTGAAATGGTTTAGTTTTTCATATATGTGTGCTTCATTCTGTAACTATATTGGAAGCTGGTTGTGCAATCCTGGATAGATTATTTAATTTTGCCAAGCCCACTTTCCTTATCAGCAAATAGTGATAATAATACTTATTTTGCAGGGTTGTAGTGGGAATTAGAAATAGTATATCCAAGGTGAGCTCAGTACAAATTGTTTTTTTTTTAACTTATAACTTAGCATTCTATATATATATAGAGAGAGAGATGTTCATGTTTTCATATTTCAAATGAATGAATAATCCTAGCATCCCATCCAATTTAGATACTTACTGACAATTTAGATACTTATGTGACGCATAAGGCACTGTTCATAATCCTCAAGGTCTCTTGAGCCTTTATTATTTAGATGTTTCTTGCATAAACCATGTATTCAATCTCAGCAATTCTGATTATTCTGTTTTCGTCACCATGCCTCACCCATCATAGTAGGTGCCGAATAAATGTGTGAGCTGAATGAGTAATTTAGTGGAAAAAGAGGAACTCAAATGAGTTGAAACCTGGCATGCTGTGATGAAAGCTATAACAGGTACAAAGTACTGTGTACATTGGGAGATCAAGAGAGATTAATTTTGATTACGGTATTTGGGAATGCCTTGTGGGGTAAGTAGATTTGATCAGTACCTGGATAAGGACTGAGGAAAGGGGCTTAAAGATGGAATTATGAGTTAAGACTTGGAGGTAGAAGTAAACGGGTTGTGTTTTGTTATCAGAGAGTTATTTGGGGTGGCAGGAGAGTAAGGTGGGTGAATGGGCCCAGATGACGCAGAAAAAACGTAGTTGGGTACTATACTTTGAGGATTTTGATGATACCAGTCATTATAATTGTAGCTTTCAAACGTTTCTGAAAAACACTGCATTCAGTATAGATTGCGGCAGCAGGGAAGAAAGAGGTGCGCCAGAGACTGCAATTAGCCTGCTGGTAGAAACTGCACGGAGTGGGAGGATGGCAGAGACCTTCAGTGAGAGAAGGAGACTTAGCGGCCAGTATTGGCCAGTAGGTGTCCGCGAGGAGACGGGGCTGCGGAACGACGCTTATAGGTACCAGGAAACAACACTGAGAAACAGCGGCAAAGCCCACGCAGCCCGGGAGCAGCCTGCAGACACCCACTCTGGCTCCTCCCGCCTGCAGGCTACCCAACGCCAGCCACCCAACCCGGAGCCTCTCGCTGCACCCAGAGCTCCTCGCCCCGCCCCGCGCCTCTCGCCCCGCCCAGCGTCCCTCACCCCGCTCAGAAGCCCCTGTGGCCCAACCTCCTGGGCTTCAACCTGCAACTGTCACCCTGCCCAGCGCCTGGTCGGCCACGAGGAGGGGACGCCTGAGCGGTGGGTTTGGCGAGAGGGTGATTACCTTTTCCAGTTTCACCCCAGGCCACCCGAGACGGGAAGAAGCAGCGACGAGGTCGCGGATGGCATGGCAGAACCCCTCGGCAGGGGAGCAGCTGCAGCAACAGCACGTCGCGTGCCAGGTCTTCCCCGAGCGGCTGGCTCAGGGGAAGCCCCAGCAGGGATTTCTCTCCGGCTTCTTCACCAACAACCAGAAGTGCCAGCTCATGCTCATGAAGACGCTGCAGACAAGTAGGTTGACCCAGAGGCTGGGGGTCCAGGAGTGGTGGTGTCAGACCCGGCGGGCAGGGAGGGGCCTGGGCGCCACTCGGGGGCTCCCAGGTGAGGGGTGGCCCGGGGTCCGGCAGCTCCGCGCAGAGACTAGGCAGATTCAGCGTCACCGGGTCGGGGAGTCGGTGTCTGGGGCTCAGTTTCCGTATCAGAGGAGGCGCTGAGGTCCCTTTCAGCACTACTCCTGCTCGTGGAATGAACGAGGAGTCGGGCTAGGAGTTTGCTGTTTTCTGTCACACTCACTGGTCTGATAGATCCTCTGATTTCTTATGTAAGTTATGCAGCAATGTGGGAACTTTGGAGTCTGGGTGAAGCAGAGCTTTAAAGAGCCACGTTAATTAAGGCATACTTATGCTGGCAGAGCAAAAATGACAGTTTTGCAAACCTATTTTTCATTGGAAGGGGTCCTTAATCTTCATACATGGATGGGCTTCAGAGTGTAGAAACCCCTGAAATGGACTGCGAAATCGTGGTGTATGCGCCAAAGTGCATTTTTTTCTGAGGAGAGAGTTTGTAGCTTCATCATATTGTCATTAGTCCTAACGATATTGCACTAGAGATTTCTTAACTCCTTTGTGTTGACATAGACTTCCCAAGTTTACTTCAGGTATGTTTTGAAAATCAAAGTCTTAAATGTATTTGTCCCAAAGCAAGCTTACTATTTCATAGCTGGTCAGTCACAGTTCAAAAATCAACCACACAAGATTTCCCAACGTTTTTGAGAATCAAGGAAGAGGAAGGAGGAAGGGAAGTAGAGAGAATGATGACATTGTGTTTACTTTGCAAAATATGTATTGAATACTTCCTAGGTCCTGCTGTGGGCAAATACCAAGATGAATAAGGATGCTGCATTTAAGATGTTTCAAAGTGGAACACAGTGGAAATAACATGAGATGCGGATTTACACATAGGTTCAAATTCTGGTCTCTATCCTTGTTAGGTGTGTAAGAGTGATTTAACTCTGATTTCCTCTATCCATATCTGTAAAAAATAAAGGGGGTGGGAAGAGATGGGATAAAAATACCTCTTTTAGCGTTGTTGTGAGGAATAGATTTTATAAATGTAAAGTGCCAGGATATGAGGAGCTGAATAAAGGGTAGCCGTTTTTGCAGTGGAGGAGCCAAACAGTGGAAGAAGAGTTGAGATAGGATATGAGGTGCTGAACATGAGCCGCTATAGGAATTAACAGGCCTCAGCTTTCCACAGGGAGGGCTGTTGGGAGAAAGTTTTGGTAGGACTAAAGCTTTGAAATCCTATCCTTGAGGCAGAGAGTGATGCAAGAACCAAGCCATATGGGAGACCTTTGTTTTCTTTTTCTTAAGAGCAAATTGATTCTAAAATACTGCAGGTCCTTTTTGAAGTACAAAACCACTGTGCTCCCTGCATTTTTTTTTTTTTTAAGAAGGCTAGATTTTTGAACCCACTCCAATTTTGTAAAAGTCTCTTAGTTGCTTGAATAATAATGCATTTAATATGGTGCCTGTCACTTGATATACACTAAATAATATATATCATTAATAATAATTATTTTGCTGTTAACACGTTTAGAAGGAGTTTGGTTAGTAAAGCAGTAACCTAACCTAACTTTGTTATCCCAACTACTACTTTTCTTTTACCTGTTTTTGCTTTCAACGCTTAAAAAAACTCTAAACCTTCATTTCTTTCTATTTTTTTTGCTTATGTCATATAATTTGCTGTGCATTTGTACAATCAGACAAGATGCTTATGTGAAAAGTTACTAGAGGCATTGGGCTCATCGTACTTTGCTATAATCATCACGGGCTCATAGACTCTTAGAAGTGGAAAGGCCCTCAGAAGTCATAGGCCTTTCCACCCTTGTAGAGGAAAACCTCTGTGCCATCACTGACCAGAGCGTTTATAGACCTCTACTGGAGCAGGTTCTGTGTTCTTTGAGGCTACTTGTCTATTGTATCAACAGCTTTAGTTGTTAGAAAAATCCTTTCTCATACTGAATTGAAATCTGCCCCATGTAACTTCTACCCTTCGGTCCTTGTTCTGCTCTCTGAAGAAATATTGACTGATTCTGTTCCCACTTGGAACCCCTTCAAATACTTGAAGCTACTGTGGTTCTAGTTAAGTTTTCTTTCTTCTTTCCAAATCCACAAATTCTTTCTTGCTTTTTACTGAACATGGTCCTGAACTATTTTAACTGCCTTCCCCCATGGAAGAACTTCAGTTGGCTGGTCCGGTTTAGCATGTGGTAGTCAGCATGGAACACTGTGTTACTGGTGGGGTCTGATTGGGACAGGCACCGGTGGGGCTACTTACTGCCTTCCTCTAATCTTGATACGGTGCTGCTATTTGTTTCTTTGGTTATGCCCCAAATTCCCCCAGTCTTTTGGTACATACTTTGATACAGTGTGTTTGATCATTTAACTAAAAATGGCCTTTAAAAGCATATGTGATATTATCTAAGATTTTCGTAGTACCCATCTTGGTATTTGTATCAGTTTCATTTCATTAAAGACATGCTTTTATGTTAATTTAAGCTTGTCTTTTCATAACCATTTTTACCAATTTTAAGATAGTATTACTTCATTAAGATTTCTGAATTGCATTTTGATGCTATTTTACACTGCTGTTTGGATAACTTAATTGACTATCTTTTTCCAATTAGAATATATATTTAAGTCCATATCTTTTCAGATCCATATGTCAAACTTCTACTCGATGCCATGAAGCACTCAGGTTGGTAAGTAAATCTTTTTGAAGTGCTGCTCTATATTCTGGCTGTTAAAAACAAAAAACCCCAAACTGGAACTATTTAAGATTTTTCTTCAGGCTACAAAGCCTTTTCCATATGGTAGGTGGTGGTGATTGGCTGCGTTCTCTCCAGGCAAGCCTTGTTCTCCAACATCTGCCCTAACTCCAAATATGTGGCTCTACCATTTACTTTGAGTATTTAGTAAGAGTAATACTTAAAATCTTTCTTATAAGTAATTGCCATACCTGGCTTTACCACTATGCCAGTGTCATAATTGTCCTTAACGGAGAAGAAATCTCAGCTTGTTGCAGAGGAGGTGTTTGACTTCGGGAGGGATTAGAGGAAGTGACTTCTGAGATTGACTTCTTAACATTCTGGCCCAAGGGCAGCAACTCCAGCATATTTCCAATATGATTTTAATTAGTTAACCAAATGCTTTGCGGAATCATAAAGTTGAGAATTCAAACTAGGGCAAATTTTGCAGAGACGATTTCCTTATTTTATAGATGAGAAAACTAAGTCCTGAAAGTGTTCAGTTGCTTTCCCAGTGTTTTGTGTGTGTGAGTGGTGGAGGGGATTTGCTATGGAGTCTTCTGGCCCAGGGTTGTTTCTCCTGTGCTACATCCTCCCTGCTTCTGGACATTTGTTTCTTTAACCCATTCTTGCCTTTTAGTGCTGTTAACAGAGAAAGACACTTTTCTTGTGAAGATTGTAATGGACATGTCAGTGGAGGTTTTGATGCTTCAGTGTCTCAGGTAGGCATTTTTGTGATGTTGTTTTCTTTCCTCCAATTCTTCTGATATTTGTTGAGCACATTTCACATGCTGGGCATTCTGTTGGTAGACTGTGTGGGATTCAAAAAATGAATTAGTCAAGGTCCTTACTCGTAAGACACTCTCACAGAGGAGAAGAGACATGAATACAGATAATGATAAAATTTGAGGGAGATTAAACTATTTTAGGTAGGCATGTGATATGGGACAGTGATATGATTGACTGAAAGATGCCAACAGATTCAGCTAGAGAATATAAAGCCCCTTCAGGGCAAAGAAGACAAAGACTATTGCCCAAAGCAGGGAAAACAGGAGCAAGGTGGTGTGTTGAGAAAGCACAGGGTATATTTGGGGAATGGCATGTTGTCTGGCTAGTTTAGCTGGAAGTCAGGAATATATGGGAAACAAGGGGAAGTAAGATTGGAAAGAATCCAGCCACAGGGTTGGAGGCTTTGAATGCTAAGGTAAAGAGTTTCACCTTTAGAAGTTTTAATCAGGAGAGTGAGAGTTCTCATCTGTAAAATATGGGTGAAGATTGTATCTATCTTATAGAATGGTTATGAGAATTAAATGAGACATTTCTTGTAAAGTGCTTACCGTAAAAAAACATAGTAACCACTCAATAAATGTTATTATTAGTTTTAAGTTATTAGAGGGTTTTGACAGAGTCTTGAAGGGGTAGATGGATTATGTCATGTGGTAGGGATAGATGAAAGTGGTATTAGTAACTATTTCCATCTTGAATATATAACTCACATGTATCCACACTTAATTGTTTCATGCTGGAAAATTCTATATGTATTTGGCTTATTTATTTATAGCTGTTTCACAGTATATATGTATATATATATATTACCTTTTCTTCTGGTTCACATGTGCAAAGGTTACTCTAAGGTATATACCTAAGAATGGAATTGCTGAGTCATATGATATGTGTACACTTGACTTTTGCAGGTAATGCCAAATACTTTCTTTCCATAATTTTTGATATACAGCACTCTTCTGGTTGCTCCTTTGCTAGCTCAACTTCCTCTACCAGCCCTTAAATGTTGAAATCTCTTAATCTTTGTTGTTAGATCTCCTTTGTTTTTATTCTATACTCTACCAAAGGGATCACATTTATTTTCCTTGGTCAGAGCTTTCTTTTGAACTCCACATCCGTATATTCAAGTACCCACTTAACACCGACGCTTGGATGTCCTCAAGGCACCTCAGACCTGACATGTCCAAATCCAAATTACTAATTTTTACCATACCTCATCTGCAACCCAACCTGGTCTTTTGGTTTTGCATATTTCAGTGAACAGTAACACCATCCACCCTGTTACACAGCAGAAATTAAGGATCATTCTTCATACCTCTGATTCCTTTCCAATACTCTGTCCATCACCAAATTTTGTCCAAATTACCTTCTAGATACATTTTTTGGCTCCCACTATCCTAGCTCAGGTGCCATTACCCCTCACCTAGAATTCTTCATTAGCCTTGAACTAGTCTCTCTGCATCTAGTTTTGGTCATCTTCTGCTTATTTTCCTAACTATAGTCAAAAGGATAAAGACAAAACAAAACAAAAGTAACCTCCTCTTTCACTGCTCCTTTTCAATGACTTCCCATTGCTCTCAGGATAAGGGCAAGGTGTTCAGTGAATTGGCCACTGCTGACCTCACCAGCCTTATCTCATGCCTTCCACCTCCAGCTCTGCTTCAGCAATATATAGGCCTGCTTTCAACTTCACAAACATTTTTTTCTTTCAACTCTCCCTCTACCCTTTGCTTAGGTTGTTCTGTCTGTTTGGAATGCTCCCTTCCCTTTCCATATTTAATTCCCATTCATCCATTAGATCCCAGTTTAAACATAACCTTCTGCAGAGAAGCCTTTCCTAGTGCTCCAGACCAGGTCACACATTTTCATTGTAAGTGCTCATGACACCCTGGGTTTTTCTTCATGACAACTGTCATTTAAGCATTTTGATAAATATTTGACTAATTTCTGTCTCCGTTAGTAGATTGTAAATCTACTGCTTGGTCTCAATAAATATTAGTTGAGCAAATGAACGAATGTATGTGAAATAACTGGCACATATCCCAGTGTCTGGCACATAGGAAGTATGCAATAAATGGTAATTGTTATTCTTATAGGGTCTCTATTATTCTTATAGGGTCCTGCTCAGAGTGCTGTTGGCTTTTTGCACTTCTTTCTGAAGGTCTTTCTGAGGATTTTTCCTGGCAATTGTAGTAGAATGGGACAGTGGTGGTCATTCATTGTTGATTCATTGCTCGTTCAGAAACTTGATAAGAAGCATTTTACATATATTCTCATTTAGTTCTCACAATTCTATGAGGTAGGTACTCTATCTTCTTTTTATAGTAGAGGCAACTGAGGCACAGGGAGTTAAGAGACTTGCCCAAGATCACCAAATTAGTAAGGAATGGAGCTGGAATTTGAATCTGTCTACTTCATTTCCAAGTCCACACTCTTAATACAATGCTGTGGAGTCCAAGACACCATTGGTATAGTCACCCCAATGAGGATAGTATGTGAATAGTGTCCTTAATGTAAGTGCTATTGTAGTCCAGAGAGAGGAGAAGGGAGAAGTTAGTCATTGGGAAGGCTTAAAGGACCATGTAGTTAATACTGGGCCTTGGCAGGTAGGTCGGTGTGGGGTTGGTGGAGAAGAGTGGGTAGAGGCAGTTGGGCTGGTGAGCCCTGTCATGTGAGAGAGAGGCTGGGATCCATGAAATGAGAGTACACTTTAGAAATAGCCGAATTTCTCTTATTTTGGTGCCTCCTAGATTGTTCTGTGCCAGAATAATATTCATAATCAAGCCCATATGAACAGAGTGGTCACCCACGAGCTCATTCATGCCTTTGATCATTGTCGCGCTCATGTTAACTGGTTCACCAATGTCAGACATTTGGCCTGCTCAGAGGTGAGTTTTATTGTAGAAAATATCTCCCCGCCCCCACCCAAGAATACGCTGTTTGAATATTTTATTCAATTTATAGTTACTGTCATAGTTTCACATTGGTTTTGAATTTCTGTTTTTAACTGTTGAATATAATTTTTGAGATACAACAGGAAACATTTGAATTTTTTTAGAATTGTCTTAAATATAACCTTTAAATCTTAATAATAGTTATGATTAACTAATTATAATAATACTCTATTTCTTATAGAATAAACTGTATAATATAAAATATGAGGATAGTTAACATTTACTGAGGGATGAGCGCCAAACACTATTCTGTTCTACAAACAGATTTAATCTTATTTAATCTTCACAACAACCCATGGAGGTTATTATCGCCATTTTATATCTGTGGAAACTGAGGCATTTGTTTAAATTTTATAGTTAGTAAGTGGAAGAGGCAGGATTGCAACCAGGGTTCTTAACTGGTTTGCTGTCCTGCCTTCCATAGCTTTGCCTTCCAAAGCTCCTTGCTTACTTTAGAGTAGAACATTTAATCTTAAAAATACAACAGAAAAAGGTATTTATTATTAAGTACTTTGGATTGCTCTCAGAAGTGTGTGTGTCCATGTGTGTATTATATATATATTTATATATGTAGGTATTTCAGACTTGCATTTCATTAATTGAAGAGTGTAATGTGCTAAGTTAAAAAAACTAATATAAATTTCAAGCTTATACTTTAAAACTTCAATTATTTTCTTTCCTTTGAAATTAATAAGCAACCCTATTGCATCTAATTATAACTCATATTACTTGGAAAGCAGGCTGAAACCAGAGTTTTTAAATATGTCTCTCTCTTGAGGGTTATGAGAATTAATGCTTGTTAGCTAGTTAAAGTGTATTGAGTGCCTTGAACCCCTCTGAGGAACAAGGCCATGTTATTGTAGAAGTAACAAGAAGTGGGCCATTCTCTTTGCAGTAAATTAGCAAAAATGTGGCCAGGTTGGCTGTAGAATCTATGTGGGTAGTTCCAAGAACTTTTCATCTTTTAAAGTTGCTTTTTACCTTAGAAATATAGTAAATTAGAAAACATGTCCTAACTTTAGGATGTCCTGCTCGTAGCATGACCAGTTTGGAATGTTCTTGAGTTGCTGTGCTTTGTACTACTTAATTTTTCATAGGACAGTTGAGGCCCTGGAGGAAGGGGTCCAAGAGAGTTTCGGTGATTTGGGCTAGGCCTGGGAGGTTTGTATGCTCAAAATGTCTTAAAAACTGATGTATTCGGTTTTAACTCACATTGAAATTCAGTTTGTAGATCTTTGGAAGAATGCTTTCTTGACATCCTTTTGGTAATTTTGTATAAGTGTTTGTATCTTGTGGAAAGCATGGACTTTTAAACTCTGAGGTCCAACTTTCTGACTTTTGATTCGAAAAGAAATTCATTCTATCAGTAAAGTTTTGAAAATTGTCTTTGGTAGAAAATCAAACAACCCCCTGCTCCCCTCCACCCAGTGTATTTGGCATTTTCTAGCATAGCTCATCCATATCTACTCTTTTTCTTAATTTAAGAACTTCTCGAGGCAATAGAGTTTTAAAAAGTCTTACAGATACTCTGTTCTCAGAAAAACTTGCTAATTTTATATTCTTTTACAATTAAAAAAATTGGTTGATATAAAGGTATAGAGCATGAGCACTTATTTTCTTTTTGTTTGCTTCTGTTTTTGTGATAGATTCGAGCTGCTAACCTTAGTGGAGACTGTTCACTTGTAAATGAAATATTCAGGTTACGTTTTGGATTAAAACAACACCATCAGGTAAGAACAAACATGAAATTGCTTATCCTCAGGAGTGCTAAGAGTGGAAATAGTGAATAAAGAAATGAGAAGTACATTCATTTAGTAATTGAAATTTGGAAGAACTACTTACATGAAAAGAATATACAATGTATACTGTTTAAGCCAAATAGATGGAATTTAGTTCTATATAATTATGGGCAAACTGTGTGACTGATTGAGAGATTTTAATAGTGAAAAGAGCTCTGATCTCACTCTTGGTATACTTTTAGATAGGAGTCAATAAGGATGGAAGTGAAATCACAGCCTGTCTTACTTTTATCCTAGCAGCCCTGAACTTATATTTCGAAACTGCCACAGTAACCTTCAGAATAGAGACTGCATTACAGCACGATATGGCTGTGTGTTAGCGCACCTTTAAAGGGTATGTGACGTGATAGCAAAGCTTTGGATTGGCACAGACTTGATCATGATGAATTGAGCTGAGAGGGATTTTGTAACCAAAACTCAAGAAAAACCAAAAATAAAACTATAGGCAAGATCATCTTGCTAGAAAGCTTTTAAGATCTGTGCCACATGGATATGGGGAGAGGAGTATAGAACTGATAGACTGATAATGAATGTAAGCACTTCTTCCCACAGCAACCAGGGGGCTCTGTATCCACACTTAGGAGAAAGGCTGGTCAGAGGTTTTCTATGGGAAGAGCTTGCTGGGCCAATTTGTGTGATACATGGGTGTCAGGATAGCAGTTTCAACTAGATTCAAAAAAGGCTGAGAACAACAGGAAGTTCCCTTGGTTCTTTAGAGAAGAGTAACTGAACTCTGGGATGCAGGGTAGAAAGTCACAGTGAACTACTAAAAGTCTTTGTGAACTTGGTGAATGAGAGCTAGAAGAGAAGCCTGCTGCCTAAAGAGGGTGATGACTCAGAAAGGGCTATTAGACTTTCAGCCTATGAGAGGTCAGTTTGGTGATACGCCGTGGAGTTGCCTTGTGCCGCATGTCTTCTGTGCCCTTGAATCCCTGGTTCTCTGGTAAATTCAGCTGATTGGTCTGTGTACTCTGGCTCTCAGTGGGAAGAGTGGAAGTAGGGTGCACATTGGAACGCCCAGAGAAGAGAAGTGGATAACGTGGTTAAGGCCTGTGATTCAAGGCCCAGAGTTTTGAAAGAGAAGTCTCTTTTTTTTACTTTGGGTAACAGGAGCAGAAAATTAGCAGAATTCAGGAGCAGAGTAGAACTAGCAACAGGATGGAAAATATGTGGAGGTGGTGGGAGCCTGGCTGAGGGAGAAGAGTCTTAGAGAATAGAGTCCTTGCTTTTGAACAGCATGTACCCAAGCGATAGTAACATCAATTACAGTAACTGATTGTAAACTTGCATACTTTTAATAGAAATTTATGACATCTGGAAAGAAGTGAATCTGAATTATGATCCATACTCGTGTCTCCCAACTCTGTGGTTCCAGGGGACAGATTTTTACCACCATTTTCCTTTTTTTCCTGGAGGAGAGAAATTTTCTCTTTTTGGCAGTTGCTGTTTTGGCTCCATACTGTTCTTCCTGTCCTCATTCCTTTATGCTGGGGGCGTATTTTTAAAATCGGTGTTTGGTGTAATTTAGATTGAGAAGCACTGGTTTATATTCCGATATTAGTGAGCATCTCCAGGTTGGGCACGCTCACCAGGCTGAGGTAAAACTTGGAACGTGCAGAGAAAATCAGTGACTGCCAAGATGTACAGCTCTTAGAACCAGTGTTTGGTTATTTTTCAGGAAAACTTAAATGTCATTCTTTTGAGTTTTAGTATGGACCTTTGGAGAAATAAATTGGTTAAATGCTTTCCAAGAATTGGACTGGCAGCACCTTAAGTTTCTTAAAATATTTAGAACACTGAGACAGTTTTGTCTATTACTAGGTAACATTAGGTAAATTATTTTCGTAGGAAGATAACTTTAATACCCATGCACAGAACACTCAGACAAAAAAAAGTCTGAAAAATTAAGACACCTTCCAATTTTGTCTGTATATGTGTGGTTTCCTATTGCCTGCAGGGGGAAGTACTCTTCTCAAAGGAAAAGTGATCTAGTATTGTTCAACTGGAAAGTTAAGGAAGAGAGTTGTAAAAGTAAAGTACATTTTAAATTTATTTTAAATTTTATTAAAAGTTCAACCAGAACCTTATTTATATACTTTCCTAGGATTTTGCACATTGGGAGTTGTTGTTTGGCAAACACTGCCTGGAACTTCAGAGAATGACTTCTGCTTATATTATTGGAAAAGATAAGAAAATTGGAAGAGGTCTTACTTATACCTAAATAATTTTAGATTGAGCTAAACATGCTCCATATTTTGAGTTATGTTTCTTTAGAATGACAGACTAAAATAATAGAATGTTTTATTAATTTTTTTCCAGCTTTATTGAAATATAATATAATAGACAATTAGTTGCTCATATTTACATTGTACAGTTCAATGAGTTTTTTCAATTATATTAGTTTCAGTTGTACAGCATAGTGATTAGAGATCTATATAACTCACAAAGTGATCAAAATCTAGTACCCTTCTTCCCCCTTACATACTTATTACAACATTATTAACTATAGGAAAATGAATTTTGATTGTGGTTCAGACATTATATAAAATAGTTCATGATAAAATTTTCATATATGATTAAAGGCACATACTTTTCTTTCTCCCTAGACTTGTGTGAGAGACAGAGCCATTCTTTCTATTCTGGCTGTTAGGAATATCAGCAAAGAAGTAGCTCAAAAGGCTGTTGATGAAGTTTTTGAATCTTGTTTCAATGACCACGAACCTTTTGGAAGGATCCCACATAACAAGACTTATGCAAGATATGCTCATAGAGACTTTCAAAATCGTGATCGATATTACTCAAATATATGAGGACAATGACATTTTATATTACAGAGCCTCAGTGATCATGGAGAAAATATGGTTATCAAGTGCACAAATGTATAAAATGTGAATGATCAATTAAATACAGATAAAACAGAAGATGCTGATTCTTGCATATGATCAGAAAAAATTACTCTGGTGAAAAAGTGAAACTGCCTAAACTCAAGGCAAAAATAGTATCTTTATAGCTAACCATTTGGTAAATAAGGCAAATAAATTACATTTTTCTACTTTGTACATTATTCTTGTGTTTTTTATTATTTGTGTTTTATTTTTTATTATTTTATTTTCATTACATGTGATTATTTTAGAATTTGATTATGAAACCTGTGAAGTATGCCCTTGGATGAATGTTGGTAGGTGACCACTGTTGGTGTTTATATTAAGTGTGAAGAAAAATGTACTGATCTTAATATAGGACATTTATTGAGGTGCTATGATCAAAACATACAAAGAATGAAAGCTGGGAATTATTCATTTGGTGATCAGTGCCTCCCCTCTCTCTGCTCTTCTTTCAATATATCTGTGGAGACTATGGCTTAATTTTCTGGGGACAGTCTTGATTAGATTATTTTTTTATTGGAAAGGCAGTGCATTAAGTTTATAATGCAATCGAATTTAACTTTTATATATTTATAAGATTTTTTACATAATCATACTCAAATATTTTGTTAAGCCTTGATCTGAGTTTTGGATTCAGAAAACATGCTCATCTTATTTATCCCCCTTCAGTGGTAACTACATCTTTCACCTGTCCCAGCAGACATCTCTTGGCCTATGTCCAGACAGACAGTGAAACCTGTGTGTAGAGATGGCTAATTAAAGGTTTAAAGATAATGAAATTAGCAAGATTATTATTATTTTTTTGAGTTAAAATTTGGTTATAAAGTGATACCTCAAGCTTAGTAACTTATTAAACATTAAAATGATATGAGGATTCTGGGAAGATGGTGGAATAGGAAACAACAGAAATCTCTCCCCACCTAGAGAAAATTACACTGGCAGAATCTATCTGATATAAATATTTTGGACTTCTGGAGTCTATTGAATGCTTGCAACATGCAGGGGAAGGCTTGTGTGGGAGACTGCAGTTAATTTTGGTCAATTTCAGCTCCTAGCACAGTAGTAACTACTGAACACCTACCACACTGCCCTGTGGCAGGCAGCTATGCCTGTGTTCCTAGAGCAGCTTCTGCACAGATTATGGGAGCCAGGGTGGGCAAAAAGCGCCCTGTCCTCCATATATTTGGGATCTGCTCCGATTACTGATTGCTGCCTCTTTTTGCAGAGGTTCAGACAAAGAGGTGGCAGCATTGTTGTACCTCTTTCCATTTTTTGCAAACTGTTTCTCATCTGGCTTACAGGGTATTTAAAGTGACTTTACAGGATGTTAAAAGGCCGATGCCCTTTTTCCTCTATTTTTATCTGTTTATGCTTTTGGGAGCCAGACACTGAAGACTAGATCATTCAGTAACAATGGCATATACAGTGGGAATTAGAAAGTCACTACGCATGTCCAGGGAAAGGTGCAGGCTCAGAAAAGACACAAGAAGGCCTTTCGTTTATACTTCAGGCAGATCTTTGGCACAGAGACAGCCTATAATAAACAAACAAACAACCTTGATCCCAAAACAACAGCAAACTCTGGGGAGGTAGCAGAATCTGATTTTCAGAGTTACCACTTTATTAGATTCAAATGTCCACTTTGCATTAAAAAATCATAAGGCACACAAAGGATACACAAGACATACATAGAAACAGATGGCTCATTCAGAAGAAAATATAAACCAACAAACTCCCTGGAAAGGAACTAGACAATTTAAAACAATTGTGTTAAAGATACAGAAAGAACTAAAGTAAAATGTGGAGAAAGTCAAGAAACGTTGTATGGACAAAATGGATATATCAACAAAGAGATAAATGATTTAAAGGGAAACCAAAAAGAAATTCTGGAGCTGGAAAATACAATAGCTGAAATGAAAATCTACTCAGGGATTCAAAGTCCAATTTGAGTAGGCAGAAGAAAAAATCACAAACTTAAGGATCAGACAATGAAAATTATTGAGTCTGAGGAACAGAAAGAAAAGAGATTGAAGAAAATGGAACAGAGTCTAAGAGATCTGTGGGGCACCATCAAGTTGACCAACATTTGTATAGTGAGCGCCCCAAAAGGAGAAGAGAGAGAAAGGAGCAGAGAGAGTATTTGAAGAAACAATGATTTGTAACTCCACATTTTATTTTCTGCCTATTTTTATTTTTTTATTATTTTTTCTTTTTTTAAATGCCAGTTTATTTTTTTTCATACTATATATACATAATTTTTTTAACATACATATTTTTAGAGACTAATACATTTAAAAAAATTATTAGTTTATGTTTCAGGGCACACAATGTATAAATATATAGTTTTGTAAAATCAACTGAAAAGGGTGGGGAAGAAGTTTTAAAGGAGGAGAATTTTTTTGTGTGTTATTGAAGTTATGTTGGTATAAATCAAAATAGAGTGTTAAAACTTTAGTTTCTTAAATATTACCCTCATGGTAACCACAAGGAAAATAGCCATTGAATATACACAAAAAGAAATGAGAAAAAAATTTAAGTGTTTTAATACAAAAAATTAATGCAAAAGTGAATAATGCAGGAAATGGGAGAGAAAAAGCCACAAGGTATGTGGCAAAAAATAGCAAAATATCATAAATAAATCCTTATCAGTAATTAAGAGTAAATGAATTAAATTCTTTAATTAAAAGACAGATTGGCAGAATGGACAAAAAAATTAAAACAATTCGACTATAGGATGTCCACAAAAGAGCAGGGATGTCTATACTAACATTAGATAAAATAGACTAAAAGTTTACAAGAGATAAAGGAGGACATTATATATTAATAAAAACTTCAATAGAGCAAGAATTTATGACAATTATAAAAATTTACATACCTACTAACATCATTAAAATATGTGAAGCAAAAATTGACAGAATTGAAAGAGAAATAGACAATTCTACAGTAATAGTTGGAGACCACTATCCCACTCTCGATAATGAATAGAAAGAACAACCAGACAAGATAACTAAGGATATAGAGGACTTGAAAAACATAAAAGACACCAACTAGATCTAACAGACATATATAGAACAATTTAAATAACAACAAAAGCATACCCATTCTTCTCAAGCGCACATTTCAAATAGATCATAAGTTAGGCTACAAATTAAGTCTCAATATATTTAAAATATAGATATACATCTCTGACTACAAAGGGATGAAGTTAGAAATCAATAACAGAAGGAAAATTGAAAAACTCACAAATTTGTGGAAATTAAAAAACACACTTTTAAACAACCAATAGGTTAAAGAGGAAATCACAAGGGAAATTAGAAAATAGAGATGAATGAAAACAGAACAAAACAACTCAACATAATATTTATGCAACACAGCAAAAGCAATGCTAAGAGAGAAAGTTATAGATATAAATGCTTATGTTAAAAAAACAAGAAAGATCTCAAATCAGCAACATAACCCTACAACCTAAGGAACTAGAAAAAGAGCAAACAACCCAAAGCTAGCAGGAAGAAGGAAATAAAAGTTAGAGCAGAGTCCAATGAAATACAGTATAGCAAAACAATAGAGAAAATCAGTGAAACCAAAATTTGGTTTTTTGAACGAATCAACAAAATTGACAAACCTTTAGTTAGATAGATTAAAAAAAAAAAAAGACCTCAAATTACTAAAATTAGAAATAAAAATGGGAACATTACTATTGATTCTACAAAAATGAAAAGGATTATGAGAGAGTACTATGAACAACCGTATGTCCACAAATTGTATTACTTAGATGAAATGGATAAATTCCTAGAAACACAAAACCTGCCGACACCAAACCATATGGAAATAGGAAATCTGGTTAGACCTATAACTAGTAAGGAGATTGAATCAGTAATCAAAAATCTCCCGACAAAGAAAATCCCTGGATCTGATGGCTTCATTGGTGAATTCTACCAAACATTTAAAGAACTAATACCAATTTTTCTCAAACTTTATGGAAAAACTGAAGATGATGTTACACTCCTTAACTCATTCTATGAGGCCAGAATTATTCTGACAGAAAAGCCAGACAAAGATATTACAAGAAGAGAAAACTATAGACTAATATCCTTTATGAACATTGTTGAAAAAATCCTAAAAAAATACTAGCAAACTAAGTTCAGCAGCATATTAAAAGGATTATGCACCACGACCAAGTGCGAGGATGATTCATCATCTGAAAATTAATCAATACTACATTAATAATGAAGGAAAAAAGATCACATAGTCACATCGATTGATGCAGAAAAAGCATTTGACAAAATTCAACACTCTTACATGATAAAAACATTCAACAGACTAGGAATAGGAGGAAACTACCTCAACATAATGAAAACCATATATGGAAAACCCACAGCAGACATCATATTCAATGGTGAAAGACTGAACACTTTTCCCTTATGATCAGGAACAAGGATAGGATGCCTGCATTTGCCACTTCTATTCAACATGTTACTGGAAGTCCTAGCTAGAGCAATAGACAAGAATAATAAATAAAAGGCATCCAAATTCGAAAAGAAGAAATAAAAGTATCTCTGTTTGCAGATGATATGATCTTAACTGTAGAAAACCCTGAAGAGCCTGCAAAAAAAAAAAAAAACTGTTAGAAGTAATAAATGAATTCAGCAAAGTAGCAGGATAAAAAGTTAACACACAAAAATCAGTGGTATTTCTATACATTAAGAATAAATACTCTGAAAAAGGAATTAAAAATTATTCAATTTACAATAGCATCAAAATAAGAATTAACTTACCCAAGCAGGTGAAAGACTTGTACAATGAAAATTATAAATCATTGAAAGATATTAAAGAAAACATAAATAAATGGAAACACATCCATGTTCATGGATTGGAAGACTTAACATTGTTAAGATGTACTCAAAGTGATACACAGCTTCAGTGAAATCCCTTTCAAAACCCAATGACTATTTTTTTTGGCAGAAATAGAAAAATCCATCTTAAATTTCATATGAAACCTCAAGAAACCCTGAACAGCCAAAGCAAACTTGAAAAAAATCACAAAGCTGGGAGATTTATAAAGCAATGGAACGGGATAGGGATCCCAGAAATAAACCCTCACATATATGGTCATATGATTTTTGACATGGATGTCAAGACCATTCAATGAAGAAGAGTCTAAGATGGTGTTCAGAAGACC